TATTTATAAGGAGATTATTTTAGATAAAAATTTGTTTCTAGATGAATTAGCAAAATCTCAGAGAAAAGTAGATCTCTCTTTTTAAATTCAAATCAAAAAATAGCAATAAAATTCTATTAGTTTTAATATTTAATCAATTTTTTTTTGTAAAAAAAAGTATTATTTATAAGATAATATCATCATATTTTTTTAAATACCATTATTTGCATAAGAATTACACATATTTTATATAATTGTAAAAAATTACTTTTTTTAATATAGATTCTATATACATTATAATTTTTAATATTAAAATCTGTATTATATAAAATATCAAGATTTTTAATTAATAAAAATATATACATGATTAAACAAAGGAATGTAAAATATATAATAAAATACCCTATAATTTTGTTATAAGAAAATATAAAACAATTTTAACAAATCCAAAAATATAAGCAATTAAGTGTTCAAACGCCCCCCAAAAATTTTAAACCCCCCTTCCCTCATGATAAAATCCTGGCTACGGCACTGCATAAATTTCTCGTAATGCTATATATAATATTCGAAAATTCCAAAAAAAAAACATACGATGGTTTTCATTTTTTTAATGAGCTATTCGGACTAATAAATATGCACTTTTTTATGGTTAGTCTCATTCTAAGACCTTCAATTAGATCTCTAGCACCGGTTTTTAGAAGAAGCTTAATAATAAGTAATAAAGTATTACATTTAAGAACTTTAATCTGGTTTAAAATTTAATTGTGTCATCCTTTGCCCGGTAATTCTAACCGAATAGTTATGGCGTCACCCGCTAAATATCCCGCCATACCTTTAAATATAAACACGATTGTTATGTTTTTAAAAAAAAATAATACTTCTCTTAAAGGTCCGCCCCCCTTTTTTTACCCGCGCTTTTGTCTTCTAATGGGCAATCAAATGGCGCATATTTTGTAAAAAGGAAAAGCTTATATATATATATTCTTTCTTTCTTTCTTTCCTTCTTTCTTTCTTTCCTTCTTTCTTTCTTTCTTTCTTTCTTTCTTTCTTTCTTTCTTTCTTTCTTTCTTTCTTTCTTTCTTTCTTTCTTTCTTTCTTTCTTTCTTTCTTTCTTTCTTTCTTTCTTTCTTTCTTTCTTTCTTTCTTTCTTTCTTTCTTTCTTTCTTTCTTTCTTTCTTTCTTTCTTTCTTTCTTTCTTTCTTTTATTATATATTGACGCGCGTATTAAACGCGAATATTTGGCCAAAACACTCAAGTTTACATAAATTTTGCAAAATTTAATCGCAAAATGAAGGATGAATACCCCCAACTATATGCTTGTGTAATAATTATTTGGCCTAAAAAAAACTTTATTGGATGTTTCAAGTTATTTTATTGTATTGTATATATACCTTATTATTTAATAATATAAGTCAACACAATAAAATAAATAAATAAATTCCAAAATTTAAGTAATATAAAAGGTGAAATATAAGTTGTAAAATGATAAGAATATTTAAGAAAAAAAAATGTGAATTTCTAGAGAAGGTCTGTGGAAAGAAGAGAGTCCATTCAAACTTTGATAATTCACTTTAAGGATAGCTATAGCCAGTCTCTGTCAGAGGAAGAAGTCTTCTCTCGGATCGCCAATATGCTTGCAGATGTGAGATCTCAAATCCTCGAAGAAGGATAAATTCTATCTTAACAAAGGGAGGTTAAGATAGTGGATATTATTGGGATAAAGATGGGATCTTCTGATATTTTTCCTAATATTTTGGAAATTTTCTGTTGATTTTTTCTTGCCTAAAGTAGGTTTGGAGTTTGGTTGGATTAAAGAAAATACAAGAATAGTCTCGATCCAGAACTTGCCCCCCCCCCCTCCCACGTTTCCATTGGGATCAGAAAAGTTTTTGATTTTCAAAGGATTATTAATGATTTTAAATATACATTTATTTTGTCTAATTTATAATTGCTCCATTCTTGGTAAAGGATATTTTACTGTAATAACCCATGGTTTTTTTTTTATATATATCCTATAATCTATGCATAATCTCAAGCTATTATCTGGTTTTCTTACGGGGCCTAACGGTGTCGCCCATACACTATGAACTATTGGTCTTATTATACCTTCTTATAGCCATTAGTTCTTTATCTATTTCTCTATCCAAAAAAAGGGGTAATCCTCTTATGACACAAAACTTTGGTCGGTAATCTTCCACTAATCGTATATCTACCTCAAAATCTTTTAGTGTACCTAATTCCTCATTTAAAAACCTCTTTGTGTCTATTCAAATATTCTTTATTACCTTGATAAAATCGGGATCCAAACCGAAACGAATATCGGTTCGGTTCAGGTTCAGGTTCGGATAAAAATAATGGTTTAAGGTTCATGTTCGGTTCGCAAAAAATAAAAATATCGGTTCGGTTCGAACCTCTAAAAACTCGGTTTGAACACATTTGTATTCAAAACTGCATTAGGATTATGTATCAGGAAAATTTTTTTATTTTATAATTAAAATAAAAACCATCATTTTTTAATTTCTCATTATAAAATAATATTTAATTTATAAATATAACAAATAAATATATCAATGATTAATTTAAATATGAACAATTACTTAAGTTTTTTTTATTAAGCTGCATAATTAATATATTTTCAAAATTCGTCTCACTCAAATTACATCTATAAGGAGATAATATAAATTTAATTGTTGAAAAACATCCTTCCACACTAACTTGGGTAGCTGGCATTGCCAGTATGATATCAGATTTGATGTGTCATTTATAATACTATATGTAAATAATTTATATATTTGATTTAATTTTTTTCATTATAATTTATAAGCTTAAAATATTTAAAAAATATTGCAAAATGGCAATACACTAAAATTTATAAAAATTATGACTGACGTTTATCAATCAAATGTGATTGATAATAATTTTTAAAACAATTTGAATATAATTAAAATATTTGCAATATACTACTAGTAATAACTTACACATTATTTTATAAGCATAAAATTATGAGACTAGAACCGGTTCAGAGGCATTTTAGCGGTTCGGTCCAGGTTCGTCTAGAAATTTTTAAGAGGTTTAGGTTCGATAAAAAATACAGGTTTTTAGCGGTTTAACGGTTCGGTTCAGGTTCGGTTTGGATCCCTGGATAAAATTATCCTCAATAACATCAAGTTCTACTTTATTCTTAATTCCTTGAGATTTGACTTCGACTGAAACTATCCTCTTCTATATCTATTCAAAAATTCTGGTGTTCGATTTCTCAATTTATCGAGAACTAATTTAACTCCTAAACTAGTTAGTAACTCAGTCTTATCATAATTCTCTCTTTGTACTATTATTTCCAATTACATTGTTTTTCTCAAGGAGTTTTTCAAACAAAGACCATCAATTATAATCAGGACTTATATTCTTAATTTCATTCTAATCGAAGATAGGCTCTATCTTTAGTGTCGTAATCCATATCGTTATCTCCTTATTTATATCTAACAATTCAATCACATAAAAACCTAAAATCCTATAACAATACTACCATCTAATTGTCTAGCTATTATTCTTCTTGCTGTGAAATGTTCTTCTGGAAAACATTTATTTAAATCTTTTACGCTCATTAAACTAATGTCGGCTCCTGTATCAAATAAAAACATGTTTCACTTTCACCTATTTCTAATCTTAATTCTAGGGCATTTACTTCTCTTTATCATCTTTTCAGATTCCATTCTACACACATTTTCTTCTGTTTCAATTTCTCTAACCACTGATCCTTTCATAATTCGCATATTTATTTACAAATTTTGAATCAACTATACCTGTTACATATATACCGAAATTATGATCAAGAAAATCAGACAAACTATTAAATTTATTATTTATAACATTATCCCTAATCACATCTAGTCATTTATTACATCTCTCTCGTGAATGACCTCCTAAACCGCTACTTGGAACATGTCAAAAAAAAACCATCTAAAATTCGTATCTAAATGGCCATTTAAGCTGCCTCGTTAACTCACATTGTCGTGCCATGTGTCCTTTTTAAAGCAAATAATTGGTCTGTAATTGTCTAAATGTCTTGTACTATCTTCGTTTCCTATCATATTCTTAATTTTTTTTTCTTCTACTTCTCTATCATCAATCCTTATATCCGGTGTATTCCTTCCTGCAATTAATCCTAATACAAAACTTAAGATATTAGTGGTGGGCGCTGGCCCAGTTTTTTATTCACGGCCTGTCCCGCTTGAGGTGGCAATAAAAAAAATTTACGCCCATTCACGCTTAACCACTAAACGACCCTACCCGCCAGCTCGCGGAAGGCGATATTTTGATTGACACCCAAAAATTTAGGGTTTTCTAAAATTTTCAAAAATTTTATTCACTTTTTTTAAAATTTATTCCATTTATTTTTCTAATTCCGGAATCCATAATTAATAACAAAAAAAAAAATAAATACAATTTTATAAATCAAAATTTTTGTTTAGGAAAAAAAAATGAAGGTCCATGTTTGTTTTATATCACGTGTGTACACCTTTCCTCTAATAAGTGACTGGCTACAAAAAAAATAACCTTTCAATTTAAAAAAAAAAACTTTAAGGAATAAAACATGGCGGAAATAAAAGCCGCGTAACGCGATAAAAAACCCCGCCATATACTTTTATTATATACGGTTAAAATTAGGGTTTGTTAAAAGAACTAGATAGAGCCCATTTGGTAAAAACGGTTTTAACCAATCAAATATTACCTTCCAATTTTATAGATTTTGTCACGTGAGGGTCAAATTTTTCCCGAAATGTTTTAGCCAAATCGCGAGGGATAGGTAATAGAGTTTGTCTAAAATCTTGACTCGGCTTTTTAGAAAATATTTAAATTTGAAATTTTTTTTTAAGAGCACTAAGTTGGATGGGATACATCAGTTTATTTTTTTTTAAAAATCGCGAACCAATTAAACACATTTTTTTTAAAAATTTGAATTATACTTAAATTATATATAATCTAACACCATTCCATGATAATTTTATTAAGAAACATCTTTAAGATCTACAGCGACAATATTTTTTGAATTCTTCAATTTGCATGCAAGCCGAATTGGTCTCGTAATAATCCAACGTCAATATCTCTGGGTCTTCGAATATTCTAGATACATTTTGCTTGTCAAAAACTAATGTCGTTTCAAATACAGCTTCATTAGCAAGTACTTTGAATACCAGTAAGAACCCTTTTAACAAACCGAATATTTTGGATAGTAAAATTTTACTGATTTTCGCATTCCCTGTTTTAGTAATATTGGTGTTTACATTTAACGTTGAGAGCATTTGAAAATCCTGGAAATTAATTTTGTCATTTGCTACCAAAATTGTATTCATTATAGAATGCTGATTCAATTCATCTATTAAACAAATACTACTATAATTTGATAAGTCATCTTTCATCTTCTTAAGCACTAAATCGACACCGTATAAAATGAGCTTAGATATACCTATAGCAAGTTGGTCTTCATCCGAAGAAACGTTTTTGAGCATTTGTGAAGGATTCAGCTTTATCCAATTGCAAGGACAATAGCGATAAGGTATATTAGCCGATTCACATGTACGATCCTTTGGTATGGGTTGTAGCAAACTTATACCCCTGGTATTACCTATATCACTAGGGTATAATGTGTAATATTCTCCGGGATCATCTGTTACGGCCAATGGAACTTGTTCAATGTTTGATATCTCAAGCAAATCGAGCAACGTTTTATGGAAATCGAAGGGCGCTAATAGGCTACGCGTGTTGGCTTCGAATATGGTTTCATCTTGATTGTATTTGGTAAAGAAATTATCGGGAGGAATTGCTAGCAGGAAAGGCATGCGATCTTCCAACATTCCTGTTAACGATATTGGATAAATAAGGTAATAATAAAACGAGCACTATTTTTAAAATCGTAAATTAACATAATATGAAAAGCATATAAACCATTCAATGTCTTTCTAAATGACCCAAACCTTAAACCGTGATCGCCGAATAGGAAGATAAAAGTATTCTTTAAGTGATGGCTCTCTATCAGATCCTTAAAATAATCAACTAAAAGGTTATCCACGTCATCAATTCCCCGTAGTTGTGGGTGAGTGTACCGAGTTAAAAAATTAAGATTAAAATAGGGCTGGTTTGATCGTTCCATTTCCTTGATCAATTCCTTCGAATAATCCAACAACATTTCAACCTCATTTTTACCATACACACAACAATAATCTTCCGATGATAGTTTGCTCATCGTATCTCTCAGTTCCAGCGTAAATGGTCTAAAATAAAAATGAGTTGGCGATTTATAAAATCCGTATTTGATATAATTAAAAGTCGACATAAAGGGTTCGTCCTCTAAGTAAATGCTGGAATAACCATGTTTTTCGTATTCGTGCCATATCAAACTGATATTATCAAGATAGCTTCGCTCATCATTAGGAAATTCCCATGTATATTTTCCGGTTAGCAGCGCGTTCAAATTTGGATACGTATTTTCTCCTATCTTGACGTAGCCTTTGTAAGCGAAAAGTTTTTTTCCTCTTATACCACTCAAGTATTTATATGTTTTAACCAAACCTCTCTCGAAATTCTTATTCGATGTCGAATCTATCCCCACGAGCAACACATTAAACTTGGGCGTTGCTGATTTATCATATTTATTCGATGATTGGGACATGACGTAATTTGACACCGATTCCCGGACAACTATGTGCACATTTCGATAAATTACCGACTTGTTATTAAAACATCTGACCCGTATGAATGTGTCGAAATTCTGATTGGCATCATCGCGTTTTCGAAAATGAGTAGAATTTATATGTACCGTAACATCGAATTTAAACTTGACAGGTTTGGTATAAGTAATACTGTCATCCGGATTACCCGAATTTATGTCCCTCAAGATTCTTTCGTATTTGCAATACTCCAAATTATTATCACCGCCATAATGTAGTCGTAAGGCCGTTGAATTAACCTTTATTTTGAAAAGTGGTAACGCGTTTTTTCTTTTCGAATTTTCCTCTCGCTTCATACTCGAGTCAATATAAGTCAAAGGAGACGTCTTGTCTGCCAGGCAGTCTAATCGCATATTTTGCGAATAAGTTTCCGAATTATCGATATCCTTTTTAGAAACATTTAATTTTAGTATCTTGCAATTCGGTAGAACTAGATCGTAATCGGTAAATTCCTTCATCACAGAATATTGGTGAGTTGAAATATTTGGCGTATTCGTCCTTGAGCCATTATTTATACGAAAAAATGGGATAGGTTTTTCATATTTCAGATACGAAGTGCAATAATAATAAAGGTAATTAAAAGGAAAGCTGAATATTGTCATGATTAAAATTATCCATATTTTTTTGGATATAAAGTTAGACATTTTTGGCTGATCATAAAATGAAAAAAACGAATGGGTCATAAAATGATTAATATTATAAGAACTAATTGGCTTCTTTATAACGCGTTTTTTGGGGTGGGTAATTATTAATTTATTAGTAAATCGAGCTTTGTATTTGTATGCTTATATTAAAAATTACAAAATTTATTATAACCCCCCCCCCAATCCACCCCCCCTCGCCCCACCTTCTTCCTGTAATATCTATTTCATTTCATTTCATTTTTTGTTTACATTCATTTATTTTTTTTAAACATTTGTAATTTTTCAAATTTTTTTGAGCCTATCTCAGCATAATATATTTTTTATAATACATAATAATAATAATATAAATATAAAAAAAATTAAAATTGAAATTGAAATTGAAGTTTTAAAAAATTTTTGGAAGAATTCATAGTTTTTATGAGCCAAATTTCTAAAAAAAATAAATAAATAAACTAATTATAAGGTAATAATTTAATAATAATATGCTAAATATTATTTTCAGCGAAATGATTAAAAAAGGGGTCAGGGTTTAGAAAGTACCATTTGCGATTCCCGAATTTCTAAGAATAAATACGGGGCCGGGTAGAAGATATTTTATTAAAAATACCCGGGCCGGGCTGAGGCATATATTTTAAGATCAAATATTTTAAGACCAAATATTTTTAAATCGCCATGATTATCGATAAAAAAATTTAAAAAATTATATTAAAAAAAAATATGTTCCGGGCCGGGTTGGATTGGGCCGGGCCGGGTTGGGCCGGGTTAGGCCGGGCCGGGTTGGGCCCTGAAAATATAAATCCCGAGTCGGACCGAAATTTTTTTTTATATATAAAAAAATAAAAATAAAATAAATATCTAGGCTTGATTAAATTAAAAATAAAATATTTTTTTATTTGTATTCATATTATTTGTATTTCATTATTTTATTTAAATAAATTACATTTCCATTTTATTATATTTGAATTTCATTTTTTTAAATATATATATATTACATTTCCATTTTAATATATTTTTATTTCATTTTTTATCCATTCTATTACATTTGTATTTTATTTTTTTTTTAAATGTATTACATTTCCCATTTATTATATTTGAATTTTTTATATATATATATATATTACATTTCCATTTTAATATATATTTTTTTCATTTTTTTTAAAATATATATTAACATTTCATTATATTTGTATTTCATTTTTCATTTCTCTTTTATATATATTACATTTCCATTCAATTACATTTTTTTTCTTTTTTCATTTTTTTTATATATATATTACTTTTCCATTTTATTTATTTGTATTTCATTTCTTTTTATTACATTCCATTTTATTATATTTGTATTTCACTTTTCATTTTTCTTTTATATATATTACATTTCCATTATATTATATTTGTATTTCATTTCTTTTTATATATATTACATTTCCATTTTTTTATATTTGTATTTCTTGCATTTCCATTTTAATATATTTGTATTTCATTTTTTTACATATAAATTTTTATTTTTGAATTTCATTTTGGTTGTTGCTAATTTTTATTTCCTTTTATTTAAATTTGGTTTGCGATTTCTTTCGGACAAATATCCAACTTCTTCAAAACAGCTGATTCCAGAATTTTTCTTGCTTATTTGTATTTTTACTCCTACATTCTAATGGTTTATCCCCATTTTTTGTGTGGATAATTGTAACATGATGTAATATGAATTAGAGTAGTAATTTTCTCAAACCATGTTTTATCAAAATTAATATTATTTATGTAATTGAGATCCCAAATCAAATTATATAATGAGAAATAATTCCTTTTATTTCTAAATTTTAAAATTGAAATTCTAATATTTTTAAAATATGAAAAATATAAAATTATAACTAAATCATAAATTGTAACCTAATAAGATTGATACCCAAGCTTTAAATACATATTAGTTAATTAAATAAAATAAATTTATTCCACCAAATAATATTTTAGAGTATTTGCCCGTTTTTGACCAGGTCAAATAAACCGAATTGACTGATATATAAATAAATATATATATGTTTAATATTAATAAATGAATAGTAATTAAGGGTAGGGTAGGAATATCTTACGGAACGTTGAAGGGCGATAAATTTTTGACTGTTTTAGCCTGAGCCAAAAAAAATTGGCAAAGTCTAAACCGATAACCCATATACTGCTAGCAATCCTACGTCAAGGGTTCTCACATCTTGTGGGGTAACATGGTTTTTTTTTTCTAAACAATATTAAAATAATGCTAGAGAAAGAAAGAAATAAAGAAAGAAAGAAAGAAAGAAAGAAAGAAAGAAAGAAAGAAAGAAAGAAAGAAAGAAAGAAAGAAAGAAAGAAAGAAAGAAAGAAAGAAAGAAAGAAAGAAAGAAAGAAAGAAAGAAAGAAAGAAAGAAAGAAAGAAAGAAAGAAAGAATATTTTTGTTAATTTAATTAGTATTGTTAATGCTTAGTTAGATTTATTGGATATATAATTTTGTAAAAAAAAATTCAATATTACTAGTTGCTTTCGAAATTCTGTATATCGCCATTTTAAAATCTCACGCTAATTTTTATGGTATTATAAAACTATAGCGATAGCGTCCGATACTTTTAAAAGTAGCGTTTAGCGTCACTGGGTGGGAGGCGCGAATAATATAAAAAGTAAAGTAATTGATGTTTTTTTTAAAATATATTTTGATTGACAAGTTGGCACATCGGCGCAACATTATTGTTCATATATATTAACGAAAAACTTCTGTTTAGGGAATTAAATTCCTTGTGAGGGGAAAGGGGGGGGGGGAATATTTTTTGCGAAAAAGATTTAGAAACTCATAAATACACACTTTCTCTACCTTGAACTCCATATAAAAAAAAATTTTCCAAAATTTTTTTAAAATTATTTGAGAATATTATTAGTTGTCACCGGGGTGGCCTAGTTGGTTGTGATATATGCTTGGAAACAAAAGGTCCCAGGTTCAATCCCTGTAAGGAACGTAAAAATTTTCAGGTTTTTTCTTTCGATGACTGATGTGTAAAAACATATGGTAAGATGGTGGCCTTTATTAAGGTTAAATATCTAGAGATAATTTTTAAAAAAAGAGAAGAGAAGAGAAGAGAAGAAGAGAGAGAGAAGAAGAAGAGAAGAGAAGAGAAGAGAAGAGAGAAGAGAAGAGAAGAGAAGAGAAGAGAAGAAGAGAAGAGAAGAAGAAGAGAAGAGAAGAGAAGAAGAAGAAGAGAAGAGAAGAGAAGAGAAGAGAAGAGAAGAAGAAGAGAAGAGAAGAGAAGAGAAGAGAAGAGAGAGAAGAGAAGAGAAGAGAAGAGAAGAGAGAGAAGAGAAGAGAAGAGAAGAGAAGAGAAGAGAAGAGAAGATTTTACGCTATTAAAACGCACACCAATCATGTTCGCGAACAAAATTAAAAATTAGATCATAGGTATAGGTTTATTTTAATTCCCCCTTCTTAAATTAAATTAAAAATGGGGATAAATATGTGTCTCCTATGTATTAAATCTAATTTTTTATGTTAGGGCCATTATATGACATCGCTGTGACATGTGACGTGAGGTGTTTTTTCTACAAAACGCCTGGTTCGAATATTTTTAACAAATAAAGAGCGACAAAATAAAACGGAAACTATAAGTTTTTTTAAAGCAAAAAAAATAGCGTCCAATATGGGACCATACAATATTCGAAGAATAACCGCGGCGCATAAACGCTTCCGAATTAAAGCGTTTTTAAAGTGAAGGTTTTATAAATAAGAAAAAAAAAATTGAGATCAAAAATTATAAATTAATAATTAATATAAAAAATAATTTTCTTAGCAAATTAACATAATTATTTAACGATTTATTTAGACCTTAATTAATAATTAATAAAAAATATAAAAATAATACATATTAAAAAAAAATTAGGAGCTTTAAAAGTTTATTTTTAATATTAAGTGACAATTAAAATTTTAATTTTATTAAGATGTCATATACAATGATTAGGCTATTAAATTTAGGTTATTTAATTTTTATAAAACTAATAAATATTACTAAATATATGTGGAGATAAGGTTTTTAAAAAAAAATCCGAAAAAAAACGAAATAAACATGTTTTTATAAACATAAAAAACATGAAAAAAAATAGGTAAAATATAATTGGAATTTTCAACTGTTACAATCACAGGGATGTTTTCCTGTCACAGAAAAAAAAAATTTTTGCAATAAGATATTAAAGATTGATTACTTCTGCTAATAGAAGTTGGCAGAGTTGTAAGCTAACAGACATAATGGTTCCTAACAAATCTAACATAAATTTTACACTAAAAAGGGGAGAATACTAAATTTAGTCGTATAAAACTTCATGATACGAAATAGAATTGATGAGCTGGCAACAATCAGATGAATGGTAAATAAAAAGTTTCTATCAGGCCAAACGGAGAGAAAGTAGATCCGGTTAATGTTGGGCTATTCGTTAAGAGGTTCGCATTCGAATGTTGGGAATCTATTGCAAAGTGAGTTTCAGAGGAATCATCCCATATTTTTTTCCCTTAATGTTTGTGACTGAACGACCCAAGCAAAATACTAGAAGTTGGTATCACATATGGGGTTTAGATTAGGCCAAGATCCAGGAGAGTGGATAACGGCGAGTAAAATAATATTTATATCAGAATGAAGCCATATAGAGATTTGAATCGAATCAGATTTCTATCTCTATTTTAGGATTATATTAGTCACTGAAGCCAGGTGTTAAATATATATGTTTAATGTCCCTTGAATTTTTTTTTATTACTCATAATAATAATAAGGGAATGAACCAATTATCATGCCTTTTTTAAATTATTATCACT